CCCTCTCCCTTCCCCCATTCAATGCGGATGGGATACGATGGGACGCGCCCTGACCGATGAGACACACCCTGCCCGACGGAACGGTGCCTGGTCAGACAGGACGTGGCCTGGGTATGGCCCACCACTACCGCCCGCCGGGCGCAAGAAACGAGGCGCCACTGCGCGTAGGCGGCCCTCCGCCTCCCAGGCGGGACTTGGAAAGGCCCAACGACGGGATCTCCGCCAGGAGTGACCAACGGGCTTCCTGAGTCAATCGGACGGCTCAGGCGAATGGCCGAGAGACAGGTAAGGAGCAGAGGGACGCAAAATTGTTTGTGTAGTAGTGCTCGCTATGTTGACGCATAGGATTTTCCTTTTTCACTTCTCCAACAAAGATTATTAAGATTGAGAAGATGAAAGGTTATCACGTGATGCACAATAGCTCCTTCTTATGTGTACACGTGATGTACAGCTCATTGATGCAACCAACGCTAACTATAATGCAATTTCTTATTGGATATATAGACAATGATCTTTCCATCCATAGTTTATAGGCAACAAGCCAACAAACAACTAGCAGGATTTAAAACCTCCAAAACCAAGTCTCAGCTGGGATTGTAAGATCTAAGTCGCTGCACAAATTCATCGATGTACCTCTCCTGGAGCTCCCTATTGGCTACAACTTCTAGATTAATATTTATGACATCAATTAGTATCGCTGGACAAATGAATGAAATAATTTTTTTATAATATATTTATTTGGTGTCGTAAATGTTGTTATCATTTTTCCAACAAAGTTGATTAAACGCAAGATAGTTTGACTTATGATCAAGGTTTTAAATAGCCGACTAAGCCATTTAACTTTCTATGTCCCAAAACAGGCTATAGCTGGCTATAGCGGGCTATAGCGGCAGCTGAGGGCTAACTTGTACATGAAAAAACTTAGCTAAATCCTTCCCAAACAGCTGTAGCCAGAGATAGCGGAGGCTATAGCAGGAGATTTAAAACCTTGCTTATGCTTCTAATAAATTGATTTATTTTAGTATGGAAGGACTATATCAGTTCCTCATGAAATGCAAGGACAAGACTTATAGGGCATTACTCTAAGTTCCAATTTAAGAGGCCTGACCCTATCTAAAACCATATGTGGACGACATATCCTTTTTTGTGTACATCCCACATCGATCGAGATTCATTTGCACTTCTAGATTAAGATTCCGAGAGACGAAGATGAAAGATTATCACATGATGCACAATAACCACTCCCCTGATGCGTTCACGTGATGCACAGCTCCTAGTTGCAACAAACACTAAACAATACTGCAATTTCTTATTCGATACAATGATCTTTCCACCTAGACCGTCTAGGATGGATAGCCATGTCTAGCTTGCAGCATTGCACGATGCCAGATCTCATCACGAGGTACCTTGACGTTGCATCCGCTGCTTATATTTTTCAATTCCTTCTTTCCTCAGCCCGGCCGGCCACTTTGGACTTTGGTTGCTCTTGGTTTGACGCAAATGGCTTGGGGTATCAATGGCTTTGTTTAGTCGTGCACATGACACGCATGGCTTGGACAAATAAAGCAGGGCGCTGGGCTAACTGCAGCTGCACAAACCAAACTGCTCCTGCCCTCCAGCTGATCAATCATCGACGGTCACACTCATCCCACCTTCCCGCGCCCGCCGGCCATGGATGACGCCAGGTCCGCATCCTCGCCGCCGCTGCACGTCGTGATCTGCCCATGGCTCGCGTTCGGCCACATTCTCCCGTACCTGGAGCTCGCCGAGCGCCTGGCGTCACGGGGCCACCGCGTGTCCTTCCTCTCCACGCCCAAAACCTCGCTCGCCTCCCTGCCGCGGCGCCACGCCACCATCATCGACCTGGTGGCGCTGCCGCTCCCGCGCGTGGAGGGCCTCCCCGAGGGCGCCGAGTCCACCAACGACGTCCCTGGCGACCGGCTCGAGCCGCTCTTCGAGGCGTTCGACAGCCTGGCCGCGCCCTTCGCGGAGTTCCTGAGAGCCGCCTGCGCCGGCGGCGGCGAGGGGAGCCGCCGGCCCCGGCCGGACTGGATCGTCGCCGATACGCTAACCCACTGGGCGGCCACCGTCGCCCTGCAGCACAAGGTGCCGTGCGCGATGCTTGTCTCAACCGCGGCCGTGATATCTGCCTTCGCATGCGGCGCGAGGGAGCACGCAGAGCTCGCCGCTGACTCCATATTCGAGCAGCCGGCCACTGTAGCCGTAGAAGAGCCACCGGCGGGCATGCCGCGGTACGAGTGGAAAAGGAACGCGGCGGGGCTGTTCACCCCCCATGAGAGGACAGGTATGTCGGTCGCCCGGCGCATCACCTTGACGCTCCAGAGGTGCACGATCACGGCCATGCGGAGCTGCCCCGAGTGGGAGCTCCACGCCTTCTCGCATGCCGCCGCGCTCCTCGGCAAGCCACTCGTCCCCCTTGGCCTCCTACCGCCGTCGCCGGACGGAGGGCGTGGCGCCGGCATGAACAGAGACGACGCCACTGTGCAGTGGCTGGACGCGCAGCCACCCAAGTCGGTCGTGTACGTCGCGCTCGGGGGCGAGGTGCCGCTGCGCGTGGATCAGGTGCACGAGATGGCTCATGGGCTGGAGATGGCCGAAGCACGATTCCTCTGGGCGCTGCGGCCACCCAGGGGCGTCCCCGACGACATGGACGTCCTGCCTCCTGGATTCCAAGAGCGCACCCGTGGACATGGGCTGGTGACCATGGGGTGGGTCTCTCAGAACACCGTCTTGGCACATGGTGCCGTCGGCGCGTTCTTGACGCACTGTGGACGGAGCTCCCTTATTGAAGGGCTTCTGTATGGGCACCCTCTCATCATGCTACCCATCTCCGGCGACCAAGGTCCGAATGCGCGGCTCATGGCGGGGAGGAAGGTAGGGTTGCAGGTGCCCAGGGACGAAGACGATGGGTCTTTCAACCGCGAGGGCATGGCAAACGCAGTCCGCGCCGTCATGGTTGAAGAAGATACTAGGAGTGTGCTTGTCAAAAACGCCATGAAGTTGCAAGAGGTTGTAGCTGATAAGGAGCTCCACGAGAAGTACATTGATGGATTTGTGCAGCAACTTAGATCTTACACCCCCCAGCTGAGACTTAGTTTTGGAGTTTTTTGAACTCTGTTGGTGGTTGTTCCGCATACGCTAGATGGGAAGTTCATTGTATCGCAGTGTTATTTAGTGTCTGTTGCAAGTAGTAGCTGTACATCACGTGAACGCATCAGAGGAGTTATTGTGCATCATCATGTGATAATCTCTCATCTTCGTCTCGGAATCTTAATCTAGCTAGAAGTGCAAATGAATCTCGATCGATGTAGGATGTACACAAATAAGGACATGTCGTCCACATATGGTTTTAGATAGGTTCAGGCCTCTTAAATTGGAAATTGGAGTAATTCCATATAAGTCTTGTCCGTGCATGGTATTGTTCATGAGAAACTGATATATATATATATAGTCCTTATTATGTTTTTCTTAAGCATCTCTAAGAGTTCCCAAGAATTTCTTTCCAAAACCGTGGAGTTTTCTTACTCGCCAAAAATACTGGGAGAAATAAATAAGATCATCTCTAACAGTTTCCAATGACTCACTCCTAAAATATAGAAGAAAATTTTACGTCAGGAATCATGTACTATATCTAAATTATCCTAACCACTTATATATATATTTTTCTCTTTCGTACATTTGCATTAGGAACCCTTTTTCTACTCTTTATTTTTTCTCCACCCTTCCACCTTTAGATTGGACGAACTATACGGGCGTGGGAGAAAATACACGTAACCAGGAGTCCGCCCATCTTTACGCGTAAAGGGTGGTTTTTTTCGAAGTGCCAAAAGATTGGGAGGTGTGTTTGGCGGTTGTTAGAGATGGATTTTTTTTCTTTCTTCCCAAAAATCATGGATTGGGAAGGATTAATAGATACTCTTGGAGATGTTCTCCTGATTGTATAATTTTTTATAGCCAGATAAAATTAAGATGATGCAAACCATTAGTTTTATGAACAATATGTATTTTTATCTTTAATTTAGACAATTAGCGCTTGTCTGAGATGAAGAAAGAACAGAAAAAGATTAAAGATGATTTATAGTTTTTAAGCCAATATCAAGATTAATATATTTTTTTGACGTAGACATCAGTGTCTGATATTGATATTAAAAACTTTTTGTCGACGGAAGTACCGGCCTCCTATATCTAAATCGTGACTCCGCCCCTGAATCTATACCTGCAATTAGAGTTCATCTCGCCATGTTGACAAATGGGATTTTCCTTTTTCACTTCTCCAACAAAGATTATTAAGATCTCTTAAAAAAAGATTATTAAGATTGAGAAGATGAAGGCTATCACGTGATGCACAATAATTCCTGATGTGTACACGTGATGTACAGCTCTTTGATGCAACCAACACTAACAATAATGCAATTTCTTATTGGATAGACAATGATCTTTCCATCCATAGTTTATGCGCAACAAGCCAATGCAACAACCACCAGCAGGATTTCAAAACCCTCCAAAAAAAAACAAAGTCTCAGCTGGGGGTGTAAGATCTAAGTCGCTGCACAAATTCATCGATGTACCTCTCCTGGAGCTCCTTATTGGCTACAACTTCTTGCAACTTCATGGCGTTTGCTAGAAAGACCCTCCTGGTATCTTCTTCAACCATCACGGCCCGTACTGTGTCGGAAATCCCCTGGCGGTTGAAAGACCCATCGTCTTCATTCCTTGGCACCTGCAACCCTACCTTCCTCCCCGCCATGAGACGCGCATTCGGACCTTGGTCGGCGAAGATCGGCATCATGATCAGAGGGTGCCCATACAGAAGCCCTTCGGTGAGCGAGTTCCGTCCACAGTGCGTCAAGAACGCGCTGACGGCGCCATGCGCCAGTATGGTATTCTGCGGCACCCAGCTCGTGGTCACCATGGCATGGGCATGGCCGTGGGTACGCTCTTGGAAACCCGGAGGGAGGACGTCAGCATTGGGAACGCCCCTAGGCTTCCTCAGCGCCCAGAGGAATCGTGTCCCGGCGAGCTCGAGCCCATGAGCCAGCTCGATCGTGGACCAGCTCCACGCGCAGCGGCACCTCGCTGCCCAGCGCGACGTACACGACCGACTTGGGTGGCTGCGCATCCAGCCAGCGCACGGTGGCGTCGTCTCTGTTCATGCCGGCGCCGCGGCCTCCGTCCGGCGACGGTGGCAGGAGGCCGAGGGGGACGAGTGGCTTGCCGAGGAGCGCGGCGGCATGCGAGAAGGCGTGGAGCTCCCACTCGGGGCAGCTCCGCATGGCGGTGATCGCGCACCCCTCCAGTGTCAAGGTGATGCGCCGGGCGATCCACATACCTGACGTGCCGACAGGTGTGAACAACGCCGCGTCCCCATCCCACTCGTAGCGCGGCATGCCCGCCGGTGGCTCCTCCACGGTGGTGAGCTGCTCGAATATGGAGGCCGCGCCGAGCTCCGCGCGGTCCCGCGCCCCGAACGCCCACGCCGCTATCGTGGCCGCGCTGGGCTGGAGCATCGCGCACGGCACCCTGTGCGCCGCGGCGACGGCGGGTGCCCAGTGGTGGAACGTGTCGACCAAGATCCAGTCCGGCCGGCTCACCTCGTCACCGGCGCACGCAGCGCTCAGGAACTCCGTGAACGGCGCGGCGAGGCCGTCGAAGGCCTCCCAGAGCGGCTTGAGCCTGTCGCCGGGGACGTCGTTGGTGGACTCGGCGCCCTCGGGGAGGCCCTCCACCCTCGGGAGCTGGAGCGCCACGAGGTCCACGGCGTGGCGCCGCGGCGGCAGGCGCGCGAGGTTCCTGGGCGTGGAGACGTAGGACACGCGGTGGCCACGCGACGCCAGGCGCTCTGCGAGCTCCAGGTACGGGAGCATGTGGCCGAACGCGAGCCACGGGCAGATCACGATGCGCAGCGGCGGCAGCACTTTTGGCGACTTGGCATCCATGGCGAGGTGGTGGATGAGTATCTGTGACAACCAATCAGCTCGATAGCAGTACGCCCGTCGCCGGGCCAGGCAAGCTCTCGTTGTAGCTAAAAAAAGGCCAAAGGGGACGGAGAGTTGTGTTAATTTGGAGTGCAGCAGACTACCGAATTTGTGGAGTCATGTATGCCGAATTGCCGATGGATGTGACGTGCGGCTTAGGTGTCGGTACAAATTACAACCTAGTACAGGGGTAGCATCGAAATCTCCACTTCCTTCACCAGTCGACGTTGATGCGGTTTGCCGTGTGCCTGTAACCGATCGAGGAACACCTTGAGCTCGCTAATTGGCGCTATGTCGCTCTCGATCGCCATGGCATTATGGCAAGGTACGACTACGTACATCGACAACGAGACCTCGGTGTCTCTCCCTGCGGACCCCGCCCGTACGTGGACGTCGTGCACTATGGGATACAGTAGCTTTGCCGAGTGCCAGACTCAAAAACACTCGACAAAGGCTTTGCCGAGTGTAACACTCGGCATAGAGAACACGACATCTACAGTATCGGCAAATAGCTATTTGCCGAGAGTTTTTTTATCGCGCACTCAGTAAATAGTTTGCCGAGTGCATGTCAATAAATACTCGGCAAAACTAAAATCTCGGGAAAAAAAGTTAACGGGATGGCACGGTGACGGCGCTTTTGCCAAGTGCACGACGGAAAAGCACTCGGCAAAATTTCTCAACTTTGCCGAGTGTCAAGCCCAAAACACTCGGCAAAGTTTCTAAAGTTTGCCGAGTGTCCAACCCAAAACACTCGGTAAAGTTTAGACACTTTGCCGAGTGTCACGCCCAAAACACTCGGCAAACACTTGCTCAACGACCAGATTTTATGGTCACTTTGCCGAGTGTCCATTAGAATACACTCGGCAAAACCAAAACACTCGGCAAAGAAGGGTCCTAGAATAACAGAGATTGGCCTCTTCGCCGAGTGTTTTGCCATGATACTTGGCAACTCCGCTCTTTTGCTGAGTGTTAGCGACTAAGACCCCCCTTTTTTTTTACTAATCTGTCACGTATAATGGACCCCTCTTAATTCACAATAAACCATCACAATTCACAACAAACCATCATCACAGGCATAATTATATGTCATAGGCATAATAAACCATCATCATAATTCACAATAAACCATCTTCACAATTCACAATAAACCATCATCACAATTCATAATAAACCATCATCATAAGTCACAACTAAGTCACAATAAGCCACAAATGCAAATGCAATCACTGCGGAGGCCCTTGGAACCACTACAACAAATCCGGGTCTTGAGACTGATTATTTGATGCCGCCGATTGATTCTGCGCAAAAGAGAAGTATTCGAAACAGTGTTAGCTTCCTTTTTAAGTTGCAGGAAAATGATATATAGGTTAGTACTAACAACTCTAGCAATGTTTAATGACAATAAAACATATATATTTTATGTTAAATTCAACATGATAATAGATTCAATTTGACCCATACTTTAGCTTCATCTAGTGTCCGGGTCAACTATAAATATAAAAGCTATAAACAGAATGTGAAACATGTTTTAACTTGGCAGCTTTGTTTCACTATCAAACAAAGACAACTAGCTGCTGGCCAATTATTTTTGCTAACTGTGTATTCAAAACCAGTTTTGTCCATTTGTCCACTAGACTGACAAAGGACAGTCGTCCACGCGTAGGTGGTCAAGACAACAGTATTTAGACTATTTCTGATGTTCTTGTTGATAATAATCTTTTAAATTACTTGACAGAATGGAGCAAGAAATTCGCAAGTTATGTTCAAAAACAAAATAAAAGTTGCAGGAGGTAGCCATGGCTTGCTATCTTCATTCTGTAAGTAGCTCTAACGTTGCTTTCAACCAAAATAGGCTGCTATGACATTGATTCACTGCACTATCTCTGAAAGCGATTTGCTGTCACGTACATAGTCATGGACCATCAGCTACCCTTAGCTGCCAGTGACAGAACCGTATATATTTGTAATAAGGTTTGGTATGACTGCGGGGAATTTCATTAATTAGCTTAATTTCTAACCGCAGATCAAAAAAGTCAAAATATAGAAAGTCAGCTTCTAAGCGAAAAGCAAAAAACTGCAGATAAAAACCAAATAGGCTCTCAGATGTGTCGCATCAACAGGGAGCACTAAATTAACACGCTACACAGTTAAATAATTATGGACCTACGTGTTTAATTTACATTTTTTCAGTCTGCCAATAACATTAGTAGTAGCAGAAGGCTTCATCTAGTGTCTCTCCTAATCTTTTTCCCCTAACATCTAAAGTTCTCTAAGTCAAAGTATTTAATCTGCAGTATAAGATGTCAAGTGACTCACAGGAGTAGTTGTGGGTAGCTGAGGTGGAGAAAATAGCATCGGTGGCGGTGGCAAAGGTTGACCCATACTCGATGCAAAATTCTACATGTATTGGAACATTTGGTCCATCCTCAACCGATTTTCTTCCTCCATCCTCTGCCACTCGGCCTCTATCCTCTGCTGAATCATCTCCTCCATCCTCGCCTCCATCTCCTCCCGTTGCTTTGTTTCTGCTTCCACCTGGGCCTATAATATTTCATCCCAATGTTACAATGCAAAGCTAAAGTACGTAACAATCAACGAACGATGAATAAAACAGAAATAACCTGGAGAGCCTCCATCTGGAACTGTGTAGTGGTTGGCCGTGGGCGTATCGCCGGGCTCGAGCTCGTGCTCCTTGCTCGGATCTAGGAGAGAGTGGGAGTAGAGGCGTGTCGATTGTACTGTCGCCAATCTAATACCGGCCATGCTTCTTGCCTCCTCCCACCTTCATCACGATTTCTCCATCAAGATCCTGGGTGCTCGGATTGAACTGTGGCCCATGAACCTGCCTTGCCATCGCTGTGTACTCACTGACGCAGCTTTGGATGCTGGGATCGTTGTACGCCTCGGGCGGGTCCTCCGGGTTGAAGTCGATGTTTGCGGTCGCGTTGCCCTTTTTGGACAGAACCCATGCCTTGAACTGGGAGCAAGGCTGGCCATCATGTGATGACAACTGCGGCAAAAATGCAAAATGATTAGAAATTATGCAGAATTGAGCGTTAGAATAAAGAAATGAATTCGCGTACCTATTTTTCCCTGTATTCGTCAAGGCTCAGGCGGCCTTGATGGTGTGATGCACGTGGCAACAGCAAACGCCGGTCCCGGCAAGCGTTGTGCGTCTCCACCCACCCGGGCTCCAACCACTTGTCCACCATGTATTCCCAGCACTGGGTATGCTGGCGCACCAGTACGGAGGCACCTACGTCATCAAGTGTATGACATATGAAAAAATAAAATTAAGCGTAATTAATCTCATAAAAAGTAAGTATTAATGTTCTATATTTACCTTCAAGAATTGTTTCCGGGTCAGGTTCATTGTTCTTGCCTCTTCTTTTTTAACCTTCATCCCTCTGTGTTGAGCATAGTAGTCGATGATGGCCTGGACGCACGCCTTGTAGTGCATGTCCTTCATGAGCTTCTTGGCGGCTTCTTCAGAGATGGAGGCCGCCTTGGCCTCGTACCCCTCCTGGCATCTGTAGAAGTCCTGCATATAGACACGATGTATATAATCATTACTTCAAGAATGTCCAGTGAATGTGATGTATTGAGCAATGTAGTGCGAGGAATACTTACCCACAGCTCGCCCTTCACCCGCTCCGCCTTGTTGGGGAATACCCTGCCTTCACGATCAGCGGCGTCGCGGGCGGCGACGTAGTGGTCCCACGTGTAGGCCGGCTGCAGCTCTTCGCCGAACTGCACTAAGCCAGGGAAGTGTAGCCTGCACAAAAGGCCAAGGATGCCATTGACCTTGCGGTTGTGATCACCCCCACTGACCTTAATCCAACCCCTACCCAAGTAATTAAGATAAATTATTAGTTTCTATTGTAATTTTCAACATATCAAACGAAAAATTATCGAGAACATCTAAAGTTACTTACTTTTTCCTAGAGGGTCGAATCATCGGGTGTCTCTCAAGAGGTATCGGTTGCCTCGGGAGGGTCGAGGGACCTCGCAACCAGACCTGGGAACCAACTGCCTCCTCCTGCTCCTCCTATACCTCCTCCTCATCACCAGAGGCGTGCGCGGAAGGTACCTCCTCCTCCTTAGACGACGACGAGGGAGTTACAGGCGACGGGGGCCTCGCCCCTTTATCCTTCCCTTTACCCCTCCCTTTACCCTTCCCTCCACCCCTTCCTCGACCCCTCCCTTGACCTTTCCCTGAAGCTAACCCTAAAGCTGACCATGAAGCTGTGATCTTTCCGTAAAGCGCCGCGATCTTCCTCATACCGCCCACCATTGTTCAATTACCTGCAATTAAAAAGAGTAAACCAATCAGCACAGATAAACAAAACATACTTAGAAAGATATGCAAAATACACTAAACATACTTCAAAAATAACATGGTATGACAAATAATAAATAAATTAGTATGGCTCATACATGTATTAGAAATAATCATCATGATCGGGATTAGCTGGATCATAAGTCTCATCATCACTATCACGCGTGTCGCTATAATCATCATGATCGGGAATGTCGTCATCACTGTCATTGCCTAAATGTAATCGCTGAAGTAATTCTAAGTCCTTCACATTCTGAACCTTGTCTCCAGTGTCCTCGTTAGCAACCCTTTCATTATCTACTTCCATTCCGATCGCTTCGGTTTAGTCTATCTCAAAACTCCCTTCGAGCCCATCTTCTTGGAAGAACTCTCCGTCATATGTGTTGGGGTCTATGTTGTAATCTTCATTGTTTGGTACAAGTAGTTTACCGTGTGGCGATACCTTGTACACAACATCCCAACCCTTAAGACGGTCGTCGGTTTGGCACGGGTATGAGAGATAATAAACTTGCGTGGCATGTTGAGCCACAATATAGACATTGTCTCCTGGTATGACGAATGATTGTCGAATTTCTACTAGCCCAAGATTAGGGGTCCGTCTCACTACTGATGGATCAAACCA